TAAGGTAAGAAATAATATAGAAATATTTGTGAATTACTTCAAAATAGACTGCCATATACTCTACCCACACTATACCATTTTTTTTATCATGTTGAAACCACTTTGGAATTAGATGCATTCTTTTATCTAAGGAGTCATCTCTATTAAAACTATGTCCTATCAAGACAGGGAGCATTGGGGAAGGTAATGGGGTATGTGTACAAATTGGAACAAAGCATAATGATATGTATGTATGAAAATATAATAAAAACAATTATTTTGCATGTAAATATTTGCATCCCAATCATTCCCAAACAGTTCTACCACCTATAGACAAAGCATTGAAATATATGAGCATATGGTGGCCATGACATTCAAACCACCATAATGCATTCTGAATTTCCTCTCGCAAACACCCTCCTTAAGACACTAAGTCCCAGGATTCTGATGTAAGCTAAAGAGAAACAAAAGATAATTTAAAATAGCAATTTAAAAAGTGTTTAAAAATTCTCTCTCTTCTCTCTGATAGCATTGGTAACCTAATTTTCATTATTATTTTGCCTTGGTCCACAGGAGTTTAGGAAAAGTTCCATTGCTAACAGATAATCTTTCTGTACATGGTGAATAAGTATTCCTCTCATTGGTTAATAATAAAAGCTCTTTGATCAATAGCCAGACAGGATAAGGTTAGGCGAACAATCAAACTGAGAACTCAGATGAGGGGGAGCAGAGTCGAGAGAGATACTGACTAGCCAGTCACCAAACAAGCCGGGAGTGTAGAAGATGAGGTAACAAGCCACGAGACACATGGCAAAAATATAAATATTGATATAAATATTGGTTAATTTAAGTGTAGGTGGTAGCTGGTAATATGCCTGAGCTTTTGGTCAAGCATTAATAGTATTAGCCTCCAAGTGATTATTTAGAAACAGCTATAAGACTGAGTGGGACAGAGAAACTTCTGTTTACTTTCCGTTGCCTATGTCTATTGGCAAAATAGTACTCCTTGGAATGACTGACATTCGGGCACAAGTCAGGATAGGAGATAAGGAAGTGGTTATTCAAGGACAAAAGAAAGGAATGGTGGTAGTTTGACATCCTCTTGTGAGAGAATTTGACTTAGGTAGTTCAGGAAGAAAATCCTAGAAGTAATTAATGAGATCATATGAATCATAGAACACTGATATACAGGGATTGTGATGGGAAGTGTATGTATACATACAGATTCACAAGAAGGAAGCATTTTAGGCAGAGGAACCATAATATGCATATGTTTTATAGTAAAAGGGCCATGGGGACATTCAAGACATCAATAGATTATTACTTTGGGTTTTCAAACTCGGTTGAAAATTTAGATGAGAGTGTTTTGCGTTGATGTGTGAAAGTGAAAGTACACCAAGATTCAAAATACTGCCAGAGTAAATCTGACATAGTGAAATTATATCCACTATGTTCAAAAACACTGAAATCATCAACAAAAATGTATCAAAGTCCCCTTACTGTGAAGGGAGGAACTGTCAGATTACAAACTATGTGGAACGTAAAGTTTCTTCCCAATATTTTCTCCAACAGCTGTAGCCATATATGAGATGCTCAGATGGATTCCTGGATCTTTATTGGTTGGGATGACTTGTTTCCAGTAGGTGCCAAGTTCTGAACAGTATTCTGTGTAAGATATGAATCAGTGTACAAGAGGATAGAAGGTGCTATTTTTCTCAGGAGAGATAACGTGAGTGCTCTCTTAGTTAGGGTTTCTTTTGTGGTAATGGAACACCGTGACCAAAAAGCAATTTGGGGAAGAAAGGGTTTATTAGGCTTATATTTCTATACCTCTGTTCATCATAGAAGGAATTCAGGACAGAAACTCAAACAGGGCTGGAACCTGGAGCAGGAGTTGATGCAGAAGCCATGGGGAAGTGAAGCTTACTGGATTGCTCTCCATGGCTTGCTCAGCCTGCTTTCTTATAGAACCCAGGACCAGCAGCCCAGAGGTAGCACCATACACCATAGGCTGGGTCATCTGCCATTGATCGACAATTGAGAAAAAGCATTATAACGGAATCTCATGGAGGCATTTCTTCAGTTGAGTCTTCTTCCTCTATGATGAGTCTAGTTTGTGTAAAGTTGGCACAAAACTAGCCAGTACAAGCATTGACTTAGTATTGTATAGACTACTGAGGTGGGACATTTGGTATAAACTAAAAGGCAAAAAATGGAAAAGCAAAGCATCATAACTTGAACCCATCTGAATCTTTCCATGACACATCAGCAATTTTGATGTGAAATTTAAGATTTACTGAGTACCATGTGAACAAAACTAATTGGTATTTGTTCAAATGTAGGAGATTTGAAAATAAAAGTTTTTTATAAACATTACTACTGGTATCTTTGATGACAATTAGCCTTCTGCAAGACTGTAGTATAGAGAAAGATCACTGCCTATTTCTCTTGTCAGGACCAAATTTGTATAGTTAGGCACCTATCACCATTTCCAGAATTCTACCAGCTCAAACACTTCATTTTAGCAGTTCGTCATTCTAATAACTCATTAAATAATAGCTCTTTCTCTGGGAGTTAATATTTCCTGAAGGATTTTTACTAAAAGCATAGATCTGTCAAAAAAAGGTGACCTACTTTTATAAAATGGAAGGAGGTGTTTAAGCACATGGCACTTTTTTCTTACCTTTCAAATGGAAGCTACTCCATTTAAAACTTAACTTTGATTACAATGTATACTTTCTAATAAGTACTGAGAGGTCAGGTTAAAATAGAGACATATAGTATAGTAAGAAGTAAGGGACTTGATTTCAGCAGTGTCAGCTCCTGTTGATTCAGGACAAGGATCTTTTGGAGAAGCAGATGTACAGTAATATATCTCTTTGGTTAAAAATGAAGTGCTTGTGAAACATCTTTAAGCATGGTCTGTAGTCCAACTCTACCGCTTTCTAGCTGTATAAGTGTTCACAGCATGTACCATGTCTGTCACATCATTTATAAGATAACAAGAGTATCTGGGTCAGGAGGTTGCTGTGATGATCAATGAGGTCTATGTGTAAAGAACTTAGTATACTGTTGGATATTTTACTAGCTTTCTCCTGTCATCATTGCAATTATTATTGCTGCAGTGTCACCACCTGCACCATTCCCCGGTTCCTACTCTAATAGAAAATATGGTTTTATAAGGTCTTGCTAAAACATGGACAAGCAAACAAAAAGGAGGGAAGGAGGAAAGAGAAAACTTAGCTTTCATATCTTTTTTCTTTCCTTACTTTAACCATCACATCTCAAAGAAGATGTGTCAAGAATATACTTTTATAAGGAGAAAAACTCATGGGGCCCCACTCGTAGATAAAGACCTACAGAGAACTAAGGGGTGTTGAGGGTAGAGGAGAAATAGTCTTCTCCCATGGAGGAATCCCCTAGTTTGTTATTCAATTTCAAGTGGTCAGCCCTGAAATCATGTACACAGACACACATACATGCACGTGCATGTGCACGCACGTACATGTGCACGTACACACACACACACACACACACATGTACACACACATGGGTAGAAGCTAGGGAAGAGAGAAGTAGAGCTTGGGAGAAAGGAAAGGTAATAGGTAATGGAGGAAAATTATATAATTATGTTGTAGGAGGCCACTTGCTTTATTCCCGGCTCCTTGGCAGCTCATACCTAAAATAACCACATAGAAAACTATATTACTTAAATCACTGCTCGGTCTATTAGCTCTAGCTTCTTACTGGATAACTCTTACATATTAATTTAACCCATTTCTATAAATCTGTGTATCGCCACGTGGCTGTGCTCCAGCAGGGCTACATGGCTTCTGTCAGACTCTGCCCTTCTTTCTCCCAACATTCAGTTTAGTTTTCCCTGCCTAGCTAAGTTCTGCCCTGCTATAGGTCCAAAGCAGTTTATTTATTCATTAATGGTAATCACAGCATACAGGGGGAAATCCCACAGCACCTCTTTTTTCTGTTTAAAAAGAAAAGGAAAGTTGTAACTTTAACATAGTAAAATTACATAAAACAGTTATCAAACAAGAATTACAGTTATATATAGTTTATCTTTTATTATAACTAAAGAAAACTATAACTATAAATTCTTCAACTCCATCAAAGACTCCAGAAGGATATAATATTACTTAAGTAAATAGAAAGTGCATTGTAAGCAACTTCCAAATCTCTTAAATTGACAGAGACATCTTATTGCTTGGACAGCGACCCTAAGTTCTTCTCTAACATTGGGGGCATCTATCTTCAGCCTACAGGGCCATAGTATCCAGCAGACTTTTCCATGAAGCAGGAAATTATAAAGACAGTTCCACCTATATTGGCAGTTTTTAGTAATTTTTTTCTGTGTCCTGCAGAATGTCTAGCAGACTCTTTCATGAAGCAGGAATCCCAAAGGACCATATCATTTTTAGGCAAGTTAAGCAGTCATTTTTCTGTGGGTCCTGCATATCCTGTTCATCAAGCAGTCCAGGCATGCACAGTTTCATGCCCAAATGACTAACGATCCCCATAAGGAGCCGTTTCGATGCCCATCTTCCTCTTGAAGTAGATTGGTGCAGCCAGGAACAGATGTGTCTCATTGTCATTAAAAGTCATAAATTCTTAAACATTTTAAATGCTGTATTCTGTAGTCTTTGAAAAGTCTGAAGAATGCCTATCCATCTGAAATATATCTCTGTACATGTAGAAAATCTAACTAACATGACTACAAGCCTGACTATTATAGACGATTATCTACTAACCTATAGTTTCTAATTATATATTACATTTATAAATGAGCTGGACAAATACAATACCTTAATCAAGATCAGAAATACATAGTATAACAAAATTGACCTTAAATTTGTATCAATAAACCAAAATCCGTACCAATGCAAATCTCTATAGCATAATTATATTTTAATTTAAATATACTTTTAAAGGTTATGTTTACAGTTTATTGCAAAAAGGATATAGAAAAAGACAAATCAACATTTATACCTCTATCCCTCTTTCCACAGGAACCTGTAGACTTGGCTGGGCCTATTACTGTGCTGGGGGTGGAGCTGCTGCAGCCATGTTGATCTGTACCTGGCTCTCTTGTTTTGCTGGAAGAAATCCCAAGCCAGTCATGTTGGTGGAGAGTATCATGAGGAATACCAATTCTTACACCATGGAGCTTGATCACTGCCTCAAACCTTAAGCCTTGACGAAGATCATCTGAAGAGGGTGGGAATGGGAGGGAAACAAGCCTTGAAAAGAGGTACTATGCTAAGGCAGCCACCTACTGGTAGTGTAGCCTAGTGCTTGCATGCTTTGTAACCACTTCTCATTCATTTTCACATCCCCATAAAGCTCTAAGTCCTTACCTATTTATACAATTCATCAGGCACAATGATGCTCTCAAATACTCACTGAACAGAGTTTCCACTGACCACCCAAGTCCCATTGAGACCTTTATACAAAATACGATTCTCACTTGGAGGTTAACTATATAAGTGAGAAACCCCTCAGAGTTCTGTAACACTTCCCATTAACTTTAAACCTCAGAGAGATTTCAGGAGCAGTTTTACTCAGAGATACTAGAAGATGGACTAAGCTGATTTCCATACATTCATTTCCATGGCTTTCCCTCTAATATTTATTGTTGCCACAAACATATTTTGAGTATCAATAGGTAAATAATTTGTGACTTTCTTAGGGCTATGCTTGGTCCCATTTTTCTCTCTCAAGCATGGGGAAATTTGGTGAAACGGTAACTTCCAGTGGGGGAAAACATTAATCATGTTTGTTTGCATATAATCTGGGGCACTTTCCACATTATGCTTTAGAATATTCATAGGACTTAATTTTCTACTCTTTCTGGGCATTTGGTATCAAAATATTATAATTGCTCTCCAACCCCTTCTAGATAAAGAAATATTGCCCATTGAATATTTTGAGTAAAGTCTAACATTTGTGAGGTGTTCAATAAATATATAATCACAGTGATGAAGGCAAGGATGTTCTTTGTTCTATTCTCCTTGAAAATTTTATCTGAGTTTATTATGTGACTAGGAAGTCTGCAATAACATTTGTCTTAGTAATCATCTGTAGTGTGATATAAGTTTCCTTGTCTGCTATAAAGACTGCTCTTCAAATCTTCTCACTTCCATCTGGGGTGAGTTAGATCTGAAAGCATACAGCCATGATGTCACCTAGGGCTGAAGTATTTTTAGGCCTGACTTCTATCCCATCTGTGATCAAGGCGGATGGATGGTGTAGAATTTGGTTTCTCCCTAGGGGAAATTAGCCTCACCCCTTCCCTCAGCTAATTAAGTCCAGTGCTATTATTCCATAACTCTAGTTTTAGGGACTAGAGAAGGACTGTGATGCAGCAAGCCAGCGCATCTGTTTCTATTCCTAAACCTTCTATCATGGATTTTGTCCATCTAGAGGGGGAAAACCTAACAAAGCTGGCTTGATTAATTGTAGACCACCCCATAGTCAGAGTTCTTATACTTGCCTCATGTATGCAACTGAATTCATATATTCCATTCATAATCACTCATAATTAACTTGTTTAGTCCTTCATTTAGGAAACATTTCTAAAACATTCATCATTCTGTTCCCAGCACTAGCCTTAAATGATGAAAACAGTTTCTCAGCCTAAAATGAATAGTGAGGAGTTATCAACAGGCATGCCAATAAATAATTGCCAATGTGCTAAGTGCTAGGAAATTGAAGGTGGGTGAAGAGGGCCTAAAGGATCACAGAACACTCACAAAACTCAATTGGTGACTTAAGGAATCGCAGGAAAGTTTGTTTTTTTTAAAAAAAGCGATGACTAAGATGGGTTTGAAATATGAAGAGCTGGAGCTAATCATCAAAGGTAAGAAGTGCACAGGAACAAAAGTACGGGGACAGAGTGAGGATGGAAGCCAAGCTTGAAAACAAATGGACGAAGACAACACTGTTAGAAAACAGTAGTCAGATTCTCTGCAGCCCAAAGTAATGAGTTTGAATTTTAAGCTAAAGGATGGATGGCCAATGAAGAGTACATGACATGAGTGCATTTGTGTTCTTCAAAGTCTACAGCAAAGAGTTAAAGAGGATGGGGAGAGGATAGAAAAGGTTACATAATCTAGGTACAAAGTGAATACACTGGGAATAAGAATGGAAAGGGGGGTGAATACTAGAAAGATATAGATTGATACTTTCTACTTCAAAATGCTTCCAAATCTAAAGTAATTTAAGATTGTTGTCCTCAAAAAGATGTTCCAGAGCATTTCCATTTAATTTTTTTTTATTTTGGCTTAATAACAAGCAACTTATATAATCTATGCCAACATTACAAACCCAAACAACTTTGACAAATCAAAGCCAGACCCAGTTGTGTAGTGAGTTCAAGACCAGCGTGAGATACATGAGCATTTGCCTCAAAAAAGCAAAATAACAAACATTACTCTACCAAACAAAATAGGATACCTTAAACAGGTATGTTTATTTTATTGTTTATTATTGTGGGCATAGGCAATTTGGCTCTCATTGAAGTATACTAGTAACATCTTAAAACATAGGTACAGTAATTTGATTTCATATTTCAACATTTTATATGGTTGTCTGTTTTTTCTATGATTTACCATGTCACTAAAACATGTGACTAAGTTTTTGTTCCCAAAGTCAAAATTTCCAAAGGGATCTTAATAGTGCTAGTCTTTTAAATACACTTTTAGTTGGATTTAAGTTGTTTAATATATAACTTTTTCAATTGAAAGGAGGAACACTTACAATGCCAAGCATTTTGAATAAGAGATGCTCAATTCTGTGCCTAGAAAGTCAGTTCTTTGTCAACATATGTAGGTAAGTCCAGGTAACAGTTTAGAATAATCACTGTAGTACATGGGTAATATCAAAATGGGTATTATGGACCATAAACAACTCATGTTCAAATTCATGTTAAATATGGATTATTCCTAGGACACAGATTGATTAAATGTATAAGGTAAAGTATCTTGACAGAACTTTCTGGAAAGCAGTGTATCTTGAGTTCATAGTATCCACTTAGCCAAGTAAGTTGACTCAGTATAGCTAAAACAAATCTGTAACCAACTCATTCCTCATGTTTATTTTATAAACATTGCAATGCACTCTCAATTTAAGAGAAGGTAGTCCATGGAGAACATGTTAAATGGTCAGGAAAAGGCAGATCACTCTCTTAGGAAAGGTAACTCAACTAGGTAATCTCATATTTCAAGCTATGGAACTTTCTGGAGTTGTATAGGACAGAATTTGTGCAGGTGAATGTGTACACTAGTATCCTGGGGGCAAACACCAGCAATACACAAGGAGTTTAAGTGGGACAAGTGCAATGAAAGAATCATTTATGATGGTATGTGTAGGGTAAAGGGCACCTACCAGCAATAAAGTTGACAGGCATAAAACCTCTAGGGTTTTATAGAAGGGTAGCCACACCCATTTTTAAGATGGAAGGGGCAAAGGGAAGAAATGTCATTATTGGAATCCAGCAGTAACTGTATTGGAAGAAAAGGAAGGTGCCATCTGATAGGAGTTGTGGCTTGAGATAGCACCATGCAGTTGCCGCCTAAATGAAGGACAAAGGGAAGGAGATAGGGTATGAATACATGTCTCACTCTCTTCCTGCTCTCTGATATTCATCCAGTGCTCACCATTAGCCCGATTCAACCAGATGCTAGCTGGTAAGGAAATCTTTGCTCTTGTCTACTGAAGTTAACTTCCTTTGGTACAGATCGTGGCAGGTAAGGTCAAAGTATGGTGCTTGGTGATATGTGGGTAAAAGGAAAATAACAGCTCTATGAGTGGTTTCTACTTCCCCAACTGACATTTCCTATTGCACTGCTTCCAGAGATGGTCTGTTTTGCTGCCCTTTCAGCCCAGATAGCCAAACACAGTAAAATAGTTGCACTGACTAAGGTAATGATTAGGGGAGGGGCTAAGAAGGAGGATATTAATTTGAAAGAACATCAAGGAGGGGGGACTATAAGGAGTGGAAGAACAGGAAACTGCAGTTGAGTTGTATTGAAGACAAAATAAAAAAAAGAGACATTTTAAAAATGATTTGTAGGTAGAAGACTACCTTTGTTTTCAGGAAAATGGGACCATGTGAGAAGAGAATTTTCCTCTTCTGAAGCTGTCAATCCTGAACAACCACATTTTCAGTATGAATTTAAAATTTCCCTCCATATTTCTGGCTCCATCCCACCAAGCCTTGTTTTGTCATAAGTGTTGGACTAGCCTAGATTCTCCCTACCTCTTACCCCTGCCCTATGGTCAGATTACACTCTTGGATACTAAATTTGTGTCTTCTGGCTACAATGGTGTAGAAAGGAAAAAAAATACATAGGTTTTGTGAGATTCTAAATGAGCAAAAAGGGGATCTCAGAGACCCCATAGTTTGAGCAAGGCTTCTGCCAATCAGTCATTTCACAAAGGAGGCCAACGGAGCCTCACTATAGAGGACACTTGTTCCAGGGATAGAGTAGTAGCCAACATTTTGTCTCTATGGTAAGATGTCTAAGCCTGACTTTTAGTTAAGGAAAGATATTTAGCTCACAGTTGCCAAAGTTCAAGGTCATGATGCTTGCATTGGCTCAGCTCTAGCCAAGGCTCTATGGGCGGTATCATATGAAGATGGATGGCAACAATTAAACTTAGTGTATACATTGTTACAGGATCTAGAGACTCAAAGTTTGAACTCAGGTTTTTATAATACTTTACTCTCATGAGACCTGCAAGGAAACTATTTTAATTCTTTCCAAGATTATATATATATCACAACACCCAAGAATATCCTGATAGGTCCAACCCATTAAAAGACCCCTCCTCCCTAAACTAAGTTCTCCATTCATGGGCCTTTAGTTGAGAGAAAAACCACATCTTAACCACGGCAAATGTTTTCTTTAGAGTCTAGGATTCACTCTTCATAGAAATACAAATGTATATCAGTTTCCAGATTGATTTTATGCCACGACAGCTTAGTGGTGAGGAAAAAAAAAGAAGTTTCAAAAACAATAATCCTGGGTGCATTTTACAAGTGGTGAAAGATATACTACTTGGTGGCCTGGGGTGGGGGGGAAAGATATGCTATTTCTAGAACTCACAATCAATCTCCAACCAGGCCAAGTAAGCAGGATCCTTCCAAAGAGTCATCTCCACTCTATTTTTCAGAACTGGAGGGGGTAG